CAAAGTTTAGAATCAAATTCCTACTTTCTGGGCAAAGTTTTATTTATTGGTGATAAAATGTGAGTTTTCTGCTTCAAAGATAAAAGACTGGAATGATTTTTAAAGGCCCAGATAGCCGGGGATCGTTAGGACAAAGTTAAATTTTAATGAGTTAAGTGTAAATGAATTAGAAACATGCATCTCAGATTTCTTATTAAAATATACATGAGGTTACAGGTTATAAAGAAAAATGCTTGGCAACGTACAACTCAGCAGTTGCCAATCTTAAAACATTTGAGACATTTTATCATTTGTCCCAACAGCAGATGGAAGCTGCTGGTTTCTTCTGTCCTTTGCTTGCATCACTGAGTTCTTTTAAGCTTAAAGCATCTTTCCTAGATTAACTTCTTTAGCATTTTGCTCATTTGTTATTCCTAGGCACACAGAGTTAATATTTCCCCAAGATTGTAAAGGACATATAATATATTCAGCTATTTGGTATCTTATCAGAGAAGAACTGCAAACCCAGGCATACTCTCTATTTGTTCACAAAGAACACCTTCATTCCATGCAACTTATGTATGTACTAATTACCCATGAGCACATAGGATTATCTATGAATGCCAAGGAGTACATATGAGTAACAAGGACTCCACTACACTTTTGCCTGTTTCATATAATCGTGCTTTAAAACCTGTCTTTTCAGGATTTATGTTTAAAAGAGCTAGCCATGCTTAATTTTTTCAAAGAAAAGCAGAAAGTGGAAATTCCTTTGTTGTTTTACTGCATGTGTCAGATGAAACAGAATACTTGCTTGCACACAAACAACTATTTTTCTTCCCTTGTAGTTCAGAGTATCTTATAAAGGACACTGCAACCAAGATTGTCATGAGAAATAACCACCCTTTCATTTTGTGTTGTGCCATCTTAATTCGTCATCTTTCTTATCATCAACTGCTCTGTGATAGTCCATAATGTGCATGGCCCATTGATCTTAAGCTAAAGAGCCAAACACATTAAGGTCTTTGATTTCGACATGATGTCAAAACAAATCATTAAAAACAATTGTTCAAATAATATTAGTTACTTCAATGCCATTGTTTTTACAATGCAAACATTGCACAGCTTACTTATTTGTGTCCAAATTATCATCATATTTCTCTAATAGACCCTACCAAGCAAGTAAGAAGATATGTTGCTACTGATGACCTGGTCTTTATTATTAAACCATTATGGTGCCCCACAAGATCTAACTATTTGTGTTCCTACTCTAAACCTTCCATCTTCCTTTCCACATAACTTACACTAAGCACTTATTTAGGATTTTACAGATTCAAATAGTCAGTGTGTCATCTTATTTGAGCCATACAACTATGCCTGGGAAAATGGTTGACCAGACATTATAAATCATATCCTATGAATGGGGAACTAAGTGACCATGACCTTGGAACATCTCCTTACTGCTAGTCATCAATGTCTTTATTACAGTACTTGCCACATCAACTCAGGTTGTTTGGAAGATGAAATAAGAGATTGCATATAAATACTATAGCACAGTCTCTAATGTATATTAACTATTTTATAAATATCAAATATTATTATTACTGCTTAGGATCTCTTGGTTATTAATTGGTGCCATCAGCATCAAAGTCTGGGTCTTCTAATTTTCTGTCTGGTATGCTGTAGGCTCTCCATTGCCCACATGAAAATTTCTAAAAATAAAATAAAAACCTCTGTGTCCTCTTTCCTGTTTATTTTGGTAGCCCTGTATTGTCCAACCCCTTACCCACTGGTAGTCCAGTCAAGCCAGGCTACTGGCAGACACTCTCTCCTACTCTCTCATAGTACATACTGTGTTCAGAATTTCTTCCTGTTTAGTGGACTCACATTCATCCTCAGGACACAGCTCAGATGGTAAATAAGTGAACCTTGTGGACCCACTGTCAGGACTTTCTGCCTCTGTGTCCATAGATTTCCTTCATCTCTGTTTTACAACCCTCACCTCATTGTTAAGCAGTTTATTGTCTTTCTCCCGCACAAAACTGTGTATTCTTTGAAGTCAAGATTTCTGTTTTGTTCAAATGAAGCCTCTATATCTGTCTGTTGGCTAATATTTGCTGAGTTGATTCTAAAATCATTTTTCTCCCCTTCTTCATGCTGCCACATATGCTCAGGATGGCTTTGGCAGACCATAGGTACAGAATGAGGGCTCTCAATAATATCTGATTACACATTTAGCCTGGATAGATCTGGTTTCCTTGGTTAAATATTGGTTCCTATTCTGAGAGAATGTTTTGCTTACGCATCTGATGATGGACAAGTAGACTGGATAAACCCTAAAGTTTTCCGTGAACATTGTTCAACTTTCCACGAAGACTGCTTGCTTCTTTACCTTCATTTCCTGAGAGCTTCCCCCCTTGTTCACGCTGCACCAGCAACACTAACGTTCTTTTGGTTTCTAACCGTGTCAAGCTCTTTTTCTTCCTCACAGCATTGACATGTGCTATATACTCAGCTTAAAAGAGTCCTTCCACATCTTCACATGGCTGCCTCCCTCTCATCCTCCAGGTCCCATTAAAAACCAGCTTGTTCTGTGAATGTGAGAAGTCAAGTAGGTCTCCTTTTATTCTCCTTCATAGCTCCTTGATTCTTTTCCTTCTTTTTTTTTTTTTTACTAATAAAGTATTGTAAGTATTTTACTTATTTACTTGTTTTTTTGTCTATTTCTAAATGAGAAGTAAGTTCCATCAAGGGAGGGACCACTTCTATCTTGTTGAGTATTGTGTAAAACAGTCACAATAATTACATATAGAATGAATAAACAAAGAATGAATGAACACAGTAGGCACAGATGTTATATATTGTGGTGTGTATCAAATATAACTTTTTAGTAGACTAAACTACTACAGACTATGTGAATTTACAAGGAGAAATAGTTAAAAACAGTTGATCTGTCAGGAAGCCTATAGTCACTCATCAGTCATTTGTTAAGCAAACTGTTAGGTATAGTGCTAAGTACATGAGATAGTCCTGTAAATTGACCATGCCTTGACATTGTTCTTAGGACAATGGATAAAGACTGTGTGATTTGATCTTCTGACCTTCTCAGCTTGAGGTTGCTATTTCTCATGTTAACTCTGATCCAGCCATATGTTCTTCTTTCAACGTCTCCAAAATGCCATCCCCCTTACCACAAACATTACCCTCCTTTACTCATCAGAAAAAATATAGATTAGTTTATCTGATTCTCTCATGTGCCCTTACTGTTTCTTGTGTCTTTGCTAAACTCATCCAAAATTTCCTAATGGATCTCCCCTTCAGCCTGTGAACCTTTATTGCCAGGCTGCTGTTGCAACAGACTTCTGCCTTCCCACAGTTGTCCAGAACTCTTGTGACTTTCTCTAAACCAAACAAAAATACATACTTTTACCTCAAGTACCTAATGTAACTTGGAGGATCATTCTATGATTCATAGAAGTTCCTAACAATAGAGGAACTGCCTTTCCTTCAGAGACCATAGTGGATATTTGAAACACTACAAAAGGCTCATTAACATGATGGAAGAGTGCCTCAAGAAGGTCAGAGAAAAGGAGGAGTAAGTTGAAACACTGGAGCAATCAAGTTGGGTTTCATTTTGTACTTGGATAGTCTTTAGGGTAAATACATTCCCTAATATTAGAATGCTTTTTTTATAATATAAATAACATATTTTTACTAGTTGCACTTATCAAAAAATTTAAAGAAATTAATCTTAAGAAAAAATGTAGAATTTTACAATTCTTCCTTCCTTGCCAAGAAAGAACTTTTCATTTCTCATGTTTTGTCTGCATTAACATCTATGTTGTTTGCATACAGTTGGAAAAATAACATTGAATAGTCTTTCCAGATTCAAGACATACCTTATTCTTCTCTAATATGAGCTGTGATTAATACAGCCTGCTATGCCTCTAGTATGACTTTATAAACACAACCCTGCTGTATTCATGTTCCAAAATTGAAAAATGAGAACTAGCTTTTCTCCGTTTAACTTTTTCTAAGTTTCTGCAAGATGATGCTTGTGTTACAGTTAAACATCAGTTGTACAGCTTTCTCTTTCTTTAACTATTAGTCCCTTAGGTATAACTCTGTAATCAAAGAGAGGTCAGCTGTATCCAAATAAAAATATGCCAGAATGTCTCTGGCAGAGATCTCTCCCTAAAGATTTCAGTAGTGTTACTTCAGGAGACAGAGAAGAAGTACTATGTTTTATCTAAAAAATCTAAGAACTTAATTCATTAAAAAATAAAGTACTAAGTTACCCTCACAGAGAACTGTGCAAGCATAGGATCTCCATGTTGCTCATCAAGTTGTTTTTCTTTTTAATAAGTTTTGAAAGAACTTGAACAATCACAGGGGAAAAAAAATACTCCCGCCTAGACACTGTATGGCTACTAGTGATGAACACTTCTCATATTGCTACAAAATATAGGGAGAACACAGTAATTCGAATTCAATTTGTGCATCATAGTCATTGCCCAGTATCCAATTAGTTTCAGAAGCAGCTGAGAGCCAGTTGTTGGCAAAATTACGAAGCAGATGGAGAACATTTCTTTCACTCTTATTTAGATGTCAGTTGTGAAAGCTTCTAAACTTCTTCACTAATCTAATAATTGTTCTATTCCTAATAACAAGCTTAAGGTGGAATTACTTGCCTTATGTATAAATCTAGGTCTGAATTAGATCTTATCTGGAATCCCAGAAGCTTCCCATCTTTACAATGGGGAATGAGTCCCAATGGAGTGACACCGAAGCTTGATTTCCATGGGAGCATTCCTCTCTGTTCATACATTGCCTAAGTCAGAGGTCGCTTAAAACAGTTGGAATACCCAAAAGCTTTTATTCGATTGCCTCAAATTTACGAATGATCATAAAAAGTATAGATAAATTCCACCTTGGTTAATTCCATTAATTTCCAAATATTCAACTTACTTATAATTGTTTCTTCTCCTTCTTTTCTCTTTCATTATTAACTAATTTTCCAGGCTGGTGGTTTGATGCTTGTGGCCCATCCAATCTAAATGGAATGTTCTATACTGCTGGACAAAACCATGGAAAACTGAATGGGATAAAGTGGCACTACTTCAAAGGGCCCAGTTACTCCTTACGTTCCACAACTATGATGATTCGACCTTTGGACTTTTGAAGGAAAATGTGGAAAGCAGTCATAACAGCAACAAAGAAATCTGTAGAAGCTACCAGAAAAGAAACTGCTTGAAAACTTCTGAAGCAAACAATATTGTCTCCTTTCCAGCCACAGGTGGCATTTATGTGAAGTCACCAAGGTTCTTGACTGTGGATTTGGAGCCTTTAGAGTTCACAAAAGTCTCTAGATGGGATTAATCATGTTCATAAGGCTTGACTGTGGAGAATGCCACTCACTGTCATGTTTTAAAAGGGAAGAAACTTCTCAGTTCACTGTGCTTCAAACTACTACTGGATCTTATTTTTAGAACTATGGTAGCCAGATGATAAATATGGTTAATTTCATATAAAAACTGAAGAAGAAGAAGAGGAAGAGGAGGAGGAAGGGAAGGTAGACGAGGAGGAGGAAGAAGAAGAAGGACAAGAAGAAGGAGAGGAGGAAGAAGAGGAAGAGGAGGAGAGGGAAGGAGGAGGAGGGAAATGAACAACATAGAAAGAATATACATGAAGAATTCGAACGGACCTGCCATAATCCTTTGGAAAAGATGTATCACAGAATGAAATAGTGTTATTTCTATGCAGACCTACTAAAAATCAGTTTATACTTTTGCACAATTTTGATAAAAATTTAAGAAGAATAGCATTGCCCTCTAAGTTGGTTAAATGTTAATGGATTTCAGAAGCCATCTTCAGTCATACTTACTAGTTGACTTCAGTTAACCCATCTTCAAATGTAAATTCCATTTTGGTAAACCATAATGAGTTGTAGTGCATGAAGAATAATAGTGTGAGTTAGAAACATGCTCCATTTACTCTGATTTCTTGATACGGTTTTCAGGAAAAAAAATGGACATAATCAAGTAAGGACATATGAAGTAAAAAATTACCCCCATGCTGCAGTTTTCATTTACTTTAAAAACTGACTGAATGATATATAAATATATTTATAGCGTGAGTAAAATTTAAAGAATGTGAAATATACCAACAAGGTCTTAAAATAATATACATGCATTTAATATTTCCTTTGATATTATACATGCAAACAGCATTTTAGAGTATATTCAGTTGGAGTGAAACCAGGTAAACTGGATCAATTCGTTTTACACTATCTTCTTGCATGTGTACACTTAAGTGTAACTTCATTTTTAAAATCACTATTTCAATTCTTCATTCTGTTATTTCATGCTAATTTAATTTTTGCTAATTAACTGAAACATGTTTTCCAGATTCAACCTGTTCCAGTTTCTAGGAGAGATACACTTTGGAATCTATAAAAAATATAAGAAGAACTATAAATACCATTGTACATAGCATGTTTATATTCATGATAAACCTAATAGCTGTTTAATCTGGAATATGCAACATTGTCCTTCACTAATGCAAACAAACACAAGTTTTGAAAGAAATCTACTATATTATTTTATGAAATACATTATTTCTTCACATTTTTCTCTCTCTCAGTCTCTGTTTTCATAAGCAATTTCTGAGTTTAAAAAAATACTTAGTGGATACAATTGCCAAAATTCTGTATTAAACATAAGGAAAACACCCCAAAAGAGAAAATTAATCACTTACCTAAAAAATTGTGACTGCTAGCTACTATAATTCTCTTAATGAAAATATTCCTATGGGATAATCTATTTTAAGTGAATTTGGGGGCACAAGTTTTTGCAGCAATTTGAATTTACTGCAGTATTTTATCAAAAATAAACACTGCCTCTAAGTGTTCAAGGTTACAGTAGTGAAGCATTTTTATCAAAATGTGAGTTACCATGAGATAAGAAAATTGAAATACATTTTAGGTGTCCTTTCTTAGAAAAATAAGTTTGTTTGAGGCAACAATATGGATTTCCTCCATTTAAGAGAATAAAACTATTCCATTTTTAAGAAACTTTTTAAAATTTACCATCAAGTCTATATGTTTATGCATCAGTAACAACCTCATGTTGCCTCACACGTGGCATTTGCCGGTATTACACAGTTGTTCAGTTCTTCGTGACTCCTTCATAGCACTGTGCATCCTCTCCCTCTAAAATCCTTCTTGATTGTTTTCATTTCAGTGAATGAAAGTGACTGTTTTGTTCTTTTGTGTTCCTACAGATTTTTGTTACCAGTCTTTTGATAAGAAATACTATTTCCCAACTCATATTACAAAAATAAAATGAAATCATGAAAAAAAAGAAAGCATGATAGTTACTGTTTTGTTATCTGGGTTTGAAAAATGAAATATTGTTTCCAATTATTTATAATAAAGCAGTATCAAATGTTTTATGACTTTATTTTGTGTATTGTGTAATACTTATAGCTGTGCAACTATTTAAAATATGTATCCTTTACATTTAATTATTTCAGGACAAGATAATTAGGTATTAGGATCTTATCTTTACATTTTAATCTCACTAAAGTTTACGTGGCTTTCAGACCATTTTTTTTCACATCAGTCACACATGTATTTGATTTAAATAAAACTGAAAATAATGTATTCATGCAACCTCATTTCATTTTCAATAAATGTTTTACAAATTTTAAAATTAGAAATCTATAGACATATGGAATCACTGAAAAAAAAAAATAACCAACAACAAAACTACCAAATGAACTAATGCCTCAATCTCTGAAAAACTTCCAGTCTGGGATGTGATAAGAAAGCTTAGCTTCATTAAAATGTTAGATCAAAGCAATAGTTCTCGGTCCGACACCTCTGTATGGTTGTATGTCCTACCAGTTATTAAATGCCATATTATCATCTAACAATTGACAATCAACTTAGGGAACACTGAACTGGAATAACGGGAGATGTGTTGACTATCTGAGATTGGAATAAAAGGGAAAGAGCATAAGGAGGTGCTACCAGCCCATCATGCCTGGTATCCTATCTTGTCTTATCAGGTCATTTAATAAGGACCTTTCAGTGTTTCCTCACTACTGCCTAAATTTGATATAAATATGTCAGGTTACCCCCAGCCTGCATCTCCAGATAGCTTCATTCCACCTACTTCATATTGCAATCAAAATGAAGAAGCCTCTGTGGTGGACTAATTACAAGCATGACCCCTACCGTTCCCCTTTTTCTACTTCTGCCCTTACAATGTAACTTTGCAGCTCATCCCATAAAAAGGTGGAGTCTATTTCCTGAATGGCTGGCTTGAGACTTGCACTAGCCCATAGAATGCAGAAATGCCTGTGTGTCACTTTTGAGCAAAGGTCTCGAGAGCCATTTAGCTTCACCCCACATCTCAGAATGAGAAAGCCCAGGGTAACCTAAGGGAAAATTGGAGATCACAGGAAGCAGGATTGAGTTTATCAGCTGAGATCCCCCTAGGCCCAAGAAGCCCCCCCCCCCCCCCCGACCCACCAGATGACACCAGATGTGTAAGTGATCTCAGCTGAGATCAACTGAGCCTGGCTCAGGTCAGCAGAACTGCCCAGAATAACCATAAGAGACATTAAGGGTGTTTGTTTTAAGCCACTACATTTTGGGGTGTTTTGTTAAACATCACTGTAGCCATAGATAGCTAATACAGAATGATATAGCAGCCCACCTCCTGACACACACACGAGATTCTTATGAATCCTAAGGTTTCAGAACCACTCCTCAAAATTATGTTCTCTTCCTTCAAATGGGCAAGTGTTCTAACAGTCCTCCATGGTGCGCCAAAATATTAGCTGCTTCCTGACACTTTTTCTAATGTCTTCTATTGATCATCACCCTCTCTCCACTCACAAAGCTTTTAAAACATTTTGCTTGAGCTTTGTTTTCTATTTTCTACTGTTTTATAAGAAGCCGTCTCCTACTCATTTTTTTAATCCCCCACAGTACCTTGTAGACCGTTCTTATTTGTCGAATGGAATTGAATTGCTCTGAAGATTAAGAAATCCCTTCTATCTATACAAAATCCAACCCCCATATATTTGACCACTGTCTTAAGCCATTTAAGATCTTAAGCCATCTTCAGACCTTAAGCATAGTTCATTTTCTTCCAGAATAACAAAGATGTCCAAATCTATAATTCATCATTTTAGTCAGCTCAGAAATTTACTTCATTACCATCTTTGCTGGAGCATTTTTATGGTGTAGGTTGAGGGAGGTCTATGTGGTTTTTTTAACTTTAAAATTATGTACCTATAAGAAATGTACTATTAACAATAATTACTCATTTTTATTACACATTTACTATTGTTATTTTAATGTAAGACAATTTTGAATTTCGATGTATGGATTTAACTTTTGGGATTTTGCTCTTTTAATAAGCATCTAACTCAAGGCCAATACTTTATTATGAGTTCTTCTGATCATTACTTTATTGGTTACTTACTTGATATCAGTTATTGAGGTTAAAGTTAAAATTGAACATACAAATAAATGTGAACATAAGGAAAAGATTCCTAGGAAATACTGACATTAAACGAGTTATTAAATCTCTTGCATTCTTTCAAGAAAGAAACCAACAGACTTACCCAAAATGGCAGATAATGGTTAAGGTTTAATATTTCTCAGGGCTTTGCCTTTTAACTGAGGAAAAACAATTGCAAACTCTGCCATATTAACTCTCAGTTTGATGAGAAATGTGAAAGTATATTTTATTTTATCTTGTTTTCGTGGAGAGGAGAAGGACTCCTGCTATCCTCTTTTACAGGCAAGCTCCTACTTCATCCACTCATAGGACTGCTCAGCCTCCTGCCCATCCATCCACTCTCTCTTGGCCTCCATGGGGAGCTGATGTTCATGGTATGATGGTGGGAAGCAGTAAGTCATCATTATCAGCTAGTTCTGCCATAGAACTGCAACTGTCCTACCTAAGTTCCTCTTCTATACATTCATTTTTCTTTTTAACAAATACACATTGGCTTTCCAGATATGCTGTAAGGGACCAGAATCAAATAAAAGAAAAGGGAGGGGAGGTACTAAAATATTTTAAGTTAAAAGTGGATTTAAAAGAAAGTATTATAATCAAGGAATATTCATTTGTGTGCGCTGTTATACAATGTGTAAACATCAAAACAGTGATATAAAAGGTTAGAGAAGACATTATTAAGGTCCTAAATTAACTTAAATATTTCTGTTATGAAAGGTACAACCATAATAGTCATAATGAGATGATGGATTATAGTTACATAAGCTCTTCTTTTGGGAAATTATTTTATAGCTATAATTTAATGATAGAATGGGAATTATACTTAAGAAACATATTGAATAACTACTAGCATCCAGATGAAGCATTAGACAGAAAAACTTTAATTACTAGAATTAAGCTACAAAAAATACTGAGACAGTAGTGATTAAGTCTGTCAAAGGTTGTGTTGTGTATAGCTGTGTATAATCATAAGTGTGTAAAGACAAAAATGAGTAACTACAACTCGATAGTAAATTTTATATATACATGTTTTTAA